AATATTTCTTGAAAAATTGTTTTTCTAGATAATAATTGCGTTTTGAAATATGCGAATTGTTAGTGTTTACATTTATAGAAGATGCAAGTGTTTACGATGATTAGTAGGACGGGACCTTTCGACCCGTTCTTTCCTCGAAACAGATAAGATTACCACTTATAATTGTGTCTTTTCAGTTACACCAGCAGATAGAGATTTATGCACGAAGAGGAAGCAATGCGAAACACTCATTAGAAGTTGTCGATGATCATGATCAAAATGATCTTGTCGATTCTCTTCGTTTTAACGTTGACAACCATCCAGATCTCATGCGTAAGTTAATAGTTGTTAACAGTGTTTGTTTGCATGAAGGTATAATTTGTTGATTCTCAGGTTTACGTGCCAAACGAAGGATCTGGAAAGTCGGCTTACGTGGTCAAGACTTCTCCAATTATACATCAGAACTACAGCAGCGTGAGGAAGCAGCAGTTCGAAAACGCTAACAACGTGGAGAGCATCCGCAGAGGTGGTAAACGTTTGGAGGAGGTGAAAGGGCATTACATCACGAAGATCAAAGTGGAGAAGCGGCCGAAACCGCAGAACTATTACGGAAATCCTCACGCGAATCAGATCCAGCACGATTTCTACAGGGTTTACTCGAAGTGTCCGGAAGGTGAGAGCGGACAGTTCATCTACGAATTCGCTTGCAATCAGTTCTTGAACTGCTGGACGGGAAGAGGTCTGGTGGAGAACTGTCCGGCCGGGACGCTCTTCAATCCTAACTCGTTGGAATGCGATCACGCTGACAAAGTCAAGTGCATTACTGGTCCGAAGAACCATAATCTCAGGTTCATCGATGAGGAGAAATCTGCGACGACCGAGGCGAAATGTCCGAGAGGTTTTTCGGGGATTATACCGCATTACGGAGATTGCGCAAAGTTCGTGAAATGCGGTAACGGCATTGCTCATGAGATGGATTGTCCTCCTGGTACCTTCTTCGATATCAAGACGAATATGTGCGATTATCCGCAGAAGGTGGACTGCTTCAATGGGCAGAATCTGAAGGAGTGCACTGATTGCAATACAAAGGCGAAGAGCGACGGCACCGGGCAGAATATGACCAAGTACGGTTCGTCTTCATCCTCCAACGTCTTGCAACAACAGCATCATCACGGAGCCAGCCCCAAGTGTTCACCAGGTTACAGCGGTTTGGAGAAGCACCCAGCAGACTGCGCGAAGTTCTTGAACTGCGCCAACGGTATAACTTACGTCCAAGATTGCGCGCCTGGTACACTCTTCAATCCCAACTCCAAAATCTGCGATTTCCCTTATAAAGTACGATGCGAATCCGGAAACAGCCAGGAAGATAATCACCAACACAACCATCAACATCAGCACCACGGACATCACCAACATCATGGAAATGATTATAACCAAGGTAGCAATCAAAACCATGGTAACTATCAAAATCAATACAATGGTAATAATCAAAACGGTGGTAGAAACCATGGTAACAATCAACATTCTGGATATGATTGGAACCAGTATTACGGACACAATCACCATGACTACGATCAGCAGAGGCACCACGATCATAGCGCGGGATTCCACGAGAATACTGGATATCAGCATCAAAATCAAAACCAGCATCAAAATCAAAACGAAATGACGGGAACGATAATCAGAAGCAACAGGACCTACGGAAACGCATGGAAACCGATGTACAATTACACGTACTCAATCGGACAGAACGGCGGCAGGATGAACTTCAGCAGACGTTACGGATCCGAAGACAATCAAAATCGGAACGGATATTTTCCTCACAGCGAACACTACGAGGTGACAACCACAGCCAGACCAACCTACAGACCAGCACCGGTCTACGTTCCACCTAAATCGACGACACCGAGGAGCTCTTGGATTCCCTATACGGAAAGAAGGACTGTCGAAGCGACGACGCCGAAGACGAAGCATTGGCCTCCACCGTTTCCATCCACCGACCCGAACGCCGATTACGTCTTCGAGTACGAGGATCTGGATACGACGGTTGACAAATCCAGAGACGTGCAGAACTGGTGCAACGACAACAAAGGATTCGAATGCGGGAACAAACTTTGCATTCCGCCTCATCAAGTGTGCGACGGAAAAAAGGTGAGCTAATCAATCATCAACTGGAAACCAATTAAAATAATGATTTGCATTCAATTTTTGTAATGCAAATCATTATTGATTACATTGAAATCATCAATAACAAATATACGCATAAATTTCAATAACATTTACTTGAGCAAATTCAACATAATTATGCAAGTTGGGTTGTATACGTTTTACTAAGCTTGTTTAATGCGAAAACAAAAGAGATTATCGGAAAGAGTAGGATGCGGTGAAAAACAAAATTTGTTTAGACATCAGTTAATAATAATTTCTTCATTGTCGTTTATCTGCTTAGGTAATTATTTCATTTAATTATTATTGAATATTTATATGTAAATTAATAGTTTAAAATTTGGTTTTTAAGCAATGCTTGAATGGTTGGGACGAGGTGGACTGCGGCTCGTACTTGCAGCAATTCCAGCTCACCGGTGGCACCAAATTGGCTGTAAGGGAAACGGAGAAGCACACGAACATCACGCTCAAATGGTGCTCCAAGATCTGCGCGCTGAAGAGCAATTGCAAGGCATTCAATTACAGGTGATTTTTCAATTGAAGATTTAATTTCTGTTTTATTATTAATTGTTGTTGTTGCCAGGACTTTGGATGGTTCCTGCTTCATCTTGAACAGTAACGTCGGTCAATCGGGAGCTCTGATATTGCTACCAAACCACGACTACTACGAAGCCAAGAAATATTCCATCAATTGTAATGGAGGCTACGAGTGCAGAAACAAGAAGTGCTTGAGCACTGCGCAACTCTGCGATGGTCACAACGATTGCGGAGACGGCGCCGACGAGAAGAACTGCAAGGCTGAAGCGTTTGGCTACAACCTGAACATCGTAGGTTTCCAAGAGAAGAACGCCGGGCTTTTAGAAGTTGAAGGTAAATCAATGGAGTTTAACTTATTTGATTATCGATGTCTACACAATTTAAATCACTGATAGTGAATCTATTTTTTAATCAATGGAACTGTTTATCAGTACGCTTTACTCCAGATAACAGATGATAATGTGACGTTTTTTTTATTGTTGTTGTTATTGTTTTAGCGTTCGGGAAGCGCGGATACGTTTGCGATGATATGTTCGGATTGCGCAACGCCGATGTCGCGTGCAGAGAGCTCGGATTTCCTCTGGGAGCGCTCGAGGTTAAGGGCAACTCGATGCTGGCGCCGAAGGCGAACACCTCCTTCTACATGATGGACGACGTGAGCTGCTTGGGAAACGAGACGTCCCTCAGGGACTGCGATTTCGCCGGCTGGGGTGTACACAATTGCGGCCCTTCGGAAGTACGGTAAAACGAACGCGATTACGTGATGGCAACTGAGCTTTTATAATTTTCAGGCTGTTGGGATCGTGTGTAAAACCCCGTTGGAGGTGTGCCCTAAAGGTCACTGGCAATGCAAAGGCGGCAAAGAGTGCGTTTCGTTGAAATTCATCTGCGATGGTGTTTACGATTGCTCCGATTATTCCGATGAAGATGATTCTCTTTGCGATGTATGTATTTCACTGGGAGTAGTAGTCTTTACGTTATGAAATTGTTATTTAATTCAAGGCTCCGGTGACGTTGCGTTTGGTGAATGGTACCAGCAGAAATGAAGGAAGGGTGGAGATCAAGTACCATGGGACGTGGGGAACCATCTGCGACGATGATTTCAATGACGATGCTGCGAAGATTGTTTGCAGGGAGCTGGGCTACAGGGGGTCGGCTTTTGTGGTGAAAGACGCTTACTTTGGGATGGGATCAGGACCTATATGGTTAGATCAGGTCTTCTGCAAGGGCAACGAAACGCAGCTCTCCGAATGCAGTCATTGGGACTGGGGAGAGCACAACTGCGAACACTCTGAGGATGTTGGCGTGATCTGCACTAACGAAAATTCGCCAGGTTAATATCACTGAAATCTTCCTACAGACGTATACTTATTTATTGGTAGTTCCAGGTACTGCTAGGCATTCCAACTTGCAGCCCAGCGAAATGGCTACAAGCGATTTACCAGAAAAGTGCGGATTAAGATCGGACGCTATATTTCAGGATGAGTTCTCCGATGTTCATTTTAGGGTTGTTAGGGGAAGCTTAGCTCGACCCGGAGAATATCCTTGGCAGGTAATTCGATAATATAATTTCGTAACTACAACTTTAAATTAATTGTATGATTTCTAGGCGAGTATTAGAGTGAAAGGTAAATTGAAGCCGACCCATTGGTGCGGAGCTATCGTGATCTCCTCATCATTTGTGCTGACTGCGCCCATTGTCTGGAGGGATTTACGAAAGGGGCTTACTTTGTAGTGGCAGGCGATTATAATGTGAATAGGAACGAAGGGACTGAACAGGAGGCGTATATCGAAGGTATTAATTATTGATTTTTATATGAAATTCCACTCTTCTTCATTTCATCGCCCTTTATAGATTTCATTCTGCATGAGGACTTTAAGAAGGTGAATAAAATGAATAACGATATCGCGTTGATAAAGCTGAAGGGTCGTGGCTTCAAATTGAACAAGGACGTGCAGGCCATTTGCCTGCCCGACTCCGATTTGGAATACGATAGGAGAAACTGCACGATTTCGGGCTTCGGATCGATAGAAACTGGAAAATCCAGTAAGTACTACAATTTTAGTTTAGTTTAGGTTATTAATGTTAAAAAAAAAATAATGAATTCGAAATAGTTTGCAAGATGTAAATAATAGTTTATTTTGTTTGCCAGAAGCCTCGCACGACCTTAGGGCAGGTTGGTTACCGATCCTACCGATGGACGTATGCAATATGGCCCACATCTACGGGTCAGCAATAACGCAGGGGATGTTCTGCGCGGGCAGTTTGGATGAGGGTGTGGACGCTTGCGACGGCGATAGCGGCGGACCTCTGGCATGTCTGAAGGACGGCGTGTACACCTTGTACGGCATCACCTCCTGGGGACAGCACTGCGGTCACGCCAATAAGCCCGGCGTTTACGTGAAGGTGTCGCATTACAAGGCTTGGATTGAGAGTACTATGAAGAAGATGATTAAATAAAGTAATTTATGTTGCGGTAGAGAATGGGTTTCTGGAAACGACCCTCGAACACCATCCTACCCTCCTTCCTTGTGGTCACGGGCGATTCGTTCTTCAGGTAGTGGGTGTAAACGTCCATGTCCACCGGTCCCACCTGCACGTTCCTCAAGTTTTCCGAGATCACTTTGAAGCCGTCCCCGCCCTTAGTGATGAAACTCGCAGTGATCAATTTGTAATCTTTGCTCGGATCAAGATCATGGTATTCCGGTTCCGGGCAATCGTTGCACAAGACTTTGATGGACTTGACGCGGCTTCCAATCGGATTGTTCAAGTTGTAGACAATTTTGAAACCTACAATTGAAAGGAAATCAGCAATGATTTACGACGAATTGAAGAAGTCATGGTAAAACCAGAATTTTGCAAGAGATTGACGTTTCTGCTGGATTCCTTGAAGTAGTAAGGAATGGCTGTTTGCTCGAAGAAGGCTTTAATGAAGTGGCCGCTGATGACGCTCACATCTATGGTATTCTCGAAAGGCTGACAGTTCGCCATATCGTTATAGGTAATATCTAAAATAACTCAAATTATCGAACTTCATCAGTTCTAAACGAAAAACTCACTTCCAATTGGAATCGAGGTGCGTATTCCGCCCACGTTGAAGATGGCCAATTTCGAAGAAGATCCACCAGTTTCCGACTTGTCCTTGTACTAGAAATACGAACCATTAGACTAAAGGAACGAAGATCGACGAGTGATACTTACGTAATATACCATGGCATCGGTTATGAAATTGCCGATGTTGCATTCACTGTATCTGCAATCGGATTGGTCCAAAAAGACTTTGGTCTCGCCCAAAACCTGGTTGCCTTTGGCAACAACGGCATCCTTGTAAGGTTGCATCTTCTTATTAACCGTTTCATCTGAAAAATGGAGATATGAATGGATATTTTCATACTTCCAATAAGTGACAAAAATTGTGTACCTTCAGGGATAGTGTGATCCAAGTAAATTGGATTCCCTTCGAACGATTCGACTTCTCCCAGATCATCATACTTGACTACAAGATCTCCTAAGTATTTGGTGTAGGAGGAAGCCTGCACCACCAAGACTTTTCCATCGTCGATTTCCCTTTTGATAACAGTCGGGTAAGGTCCTAAAGCTTTTGAACCATCAGGTGGAGTTCCTGGAAGTTATAACAATTAGTTAAACTATTTGTTTTCTTCTTCTGAAATATTATAACAAACCGGTGTAGAGTAAGGTGTGACTGTGAGCACCGACGATCAGTCCGATTCCTTTGACTGCTTTCTTCGCGATTTCCATCTCCTTATCGTAACCGCAATGCGAAATAACGATGACGGTGAAAACTTGTTCTTCGTGCAGCAACCGCAAAGCTTCGTTATTAACTGACTCAACCTCATCTAGGAATTTCAAATTTTCGGTATTTGATATTTGCTGCAAAGATTATAATTATCGTTTTACATTTACAAGGATTAGGGTTTTCGCTTGAAAACTTTACATTCGTAGTTGATAGAATCACTCCGACAATACCGATCCTTTTTCCTTCGACTTCAACAACGATGCTTTTGTTGTATAGGTTCTGCAGTTCCGGTACTTGAGAGTCGTCCAAGTTGGATACGACCAGTGGAGCCTTCATGGTTTTGATGAAAGGAACCACACCGGCTATTCCATCGTCGAATTCGTGATTGCCCAGCGTCTGAAAACATTCCAAAAATCTTTTGGTAACATCCATGAAGGTGAGTGAGTAAGTTTTACATATGCGGTAAATGGGAGTAAATTCATGAACTTCTGGACTGTCCTCCACTTGAACATATTGTACCAGAGAGTGCCTTGGAAGTTGTCGCCGCAATTCAACAGCAACGGATTCCTCCTCGTCTCCAGAAGCTCGGTAATCTTCGTGTACATCCTAGAAAATCCGCCGTGGCACAAACCGGCTTCCGGTTTGCAAACACCCGACGTTTTTGACTGCTCTTCGAACCTGCACATTATTAATTATACCAATATTCAATATAGTTTATCTTCACTTACCTAGCATGGAAATCGTTCATGTGAATTACGGATAACTCGAGGCAATCCGCCGCGACGAACGCGATGCCCACCAGTAAAAACACGATCTTCATGACAGCAACAACAGCTTTACACCCATCCACCTTTCCGTCAACTCCGTTTTATAATCGGTGACCTATCTTATCTGCCTATCGACAATATCTGTCTCTGTTTAATTAGTGTATGTTTATTTTGGGATCATTTTCTTTACGAAGTGCATTGCAATATTTTTATCGATAAGGACAAAACTTTAAACGCTTTTATTTCGACAAGAAACAAATAACAAAACTTTTATCACTCGAACACCAATCGACCCTCCTTGCCGATCCTCACTGGAGATGATGTACCTCTTAGATAATCGGCAACGACGTCCACGTCTACAGAACCCTTCTCAGTATTCCTCAGGTTATCCGTGATCACCTGAAACCCATCTCCGCCGCGCGTCACGTAGCTAGCCGTGATCACCTTATACTCCTTGCTGGAATCTAATTCTTCGTATTTCCCATCACCTCTCAACACCTGGATTGATTTCACACGATTCCCTATCGGATTCTTCAGATTGTAAACGACTTTGCAACCTGCAAACGATTTCTATTACATTATTTTTAAAACGCGATAATTAAGGCGAGAAGAGGTCACCGGATACTTGTACCAGGTTGACGTTCGGCGAGGTGACGCTCTTGTAGTGCGGAATCGTAGTTTGCTCGAAGAAGGATTTAATGAATTCTCCGCGGACGTCGCTCAGATCGAAAGTATTGCTGAACGGAAGAGTACCTATCAAATCGTTGTACGTGATGTCTGCATGAAAACATTAAATTCTCTCTGTTAGATCTACAATTCATTGCAAATACTATCAATATCTATTTTTGATAATTCATATTTAAATTTATTTTTAAATTGACCATCCGCCGCTTACAATATAAACTAGATTAGATTAGATTTCGCAAGTACTTTTAAGCACTATTCTTTAAACTGATATAGTTTTATAAATTCATTAGGAAAATTTTTATTGTAAATGCTTACTTCCTATTGGAATCGAAGTTCTTAATCCGCCCACGTGCATCAAAGACAAAGCTCCGTAAATGTTCGAGCAGTTTTTGCACTGGAAAATGAAAGTAGAATATCTTGTAGTTAATGTAATTAGTGAGGTTTACGTGATGGAGCATTGCATCAGCGATGAAATTTCCGATGTTGCATTCGGCGTATCGACAATCGGAAATGTCGAGGTGAACTTCGGTTGAACCAACGATTACTTCGCCTTTAGCAGCAACTAACTCTTTGTACGGTCTCAATAGGTCATCCACTGCTTTATCTGACAATTGCATACAATACAAAATAGGTTTTAGCGAAGTTAATGAAATCACCTTTTGGCAATGAATGGTCTAAATATATTGAATTTCCTTTGTAGGTGGTGATTCCTCCGAAATCATCGTAGTTAACTACGAGATCTCCTATATACTTGGTGTAACATGAAGATTGAACTACCAGCACTGTTCCATTATCAACTTCCCTATTAATTACAGTCGGATAAGGTCCTCTGGCTGTTGTGTTGTCTGGAGGAATTCCTGTAAGAATCTACTTGCATTAATTGAGAAGATCAATTTGGAGGTGATGTTTAAATAACCGTTGTACAGTAAGGAATGGCTGTGTCCACCGACGATGACGCTGATTCCTTTGGCTGCTTTCTTCGCGATTTCCATCTCCTTCTCGTAACCGGAATGAGAAAGAACGATAACAGAAAACACGCCTTCCTTTTCCATCAACCTTTCCGCCTCGGCGTTCACAGATTCTATCTCATCCAAGAATTTCAGTTTTTCAGTGAGAGACATTTTCTGAAAATTAACAAAAACATTATGGGAAAGTCAATTGAAGCGAAGCTGAAATGCACGTTTGCTGTGGATAAGATGACACCGATGACGCCAATCCGTTTGCCTTCCACCTCGACGATGATGCTTTTGTTGTATAAAGCCTGGAAATCAGGTTCCAAAGAATCGTCGACGTTTGCTAGGACAAGTGGAGCTTTCATGGTCTTGATGAAGGGCACCACACCGGCAATTCCATCATCGAACTCGTGGTTTCCCAACGTCTGCAGTAAACAGAGTGTTTTATCAACAGATATTTTTTTGTTGGTATCGTTAAAGTAAGTTACGTAAGCGGTGAACGGAAGGAGATTCATGAAACGTTGAGTGACGTTCCATTTGTGAATGCTGTACCAAAGAGTTCCTTTGAAGTTATCGCCGGCGTTCAGGAGAAGAGGATTCTTCCTGGTCTTCATCAAATCCTGGATTTTCGAGTACATCCTCGAGAAACCTCCGTGGCATCTGTTCCTGCATATTCCCGAAGTTTCCGATTGCTCTTCGAATCTACGACGATCAATTCCAAGTTACGTTTGTTTCAAGAAGATGATGTAATCTCACCGATCGTGGAAATCGTTGATGTGTATGATGGAAATCTCGAGGCAATCGATCGCTAAAAACGCGATTGCCGTTAACACGAAGACACACTTCTTCATTTCCTGACGAAAATCGCGCTACTAATAATAATCGATTATCGCATATTTCACATACGCGTTGATAAACTATCAACTTTCCTGAAAAATAATCCATATCCGAAGGTCAAGTATCAAGATCATAAAACAGATGGTTTTCGTGGAAATGGAGTAAAGTGGGGAAAATACGAAATGTCGCGTTTAATGGATCGCGAAAACCGGTGACATTTTATTTTGCCCGGAAAATGTCACCTCCAAAGGTCAATATTCTTTTGTTGTTGTAAATATTTCACGTGCAGGAAAGTGCAGATTAACGCAATTCATCGATACGAAAAAAAAAGGAAAATTTGAATATAATGGAATATCGGTGGGAGTTCCGAGTGCATTGTACATAGAAATATGCATAACCTCTCGTGCTCATGAATTATGCACGACGAAACATGTAGATTTGTGCGCAAAAATAACGCAGATTACAACAATTAAAACGATAGAAATTAGAAGGAGAACACAAGGAGAAAAGACGAGAACGTCAAAGCAATCAATTTAATGTGTAACATTAAGTTGTCTTTACGCAGGCAAAGCTTGATGAAATGCAGTTTGAATTGTCTGCTGTGTCAAAGGTTCTGACTCGATCCAACAGCTCAGTTGCATTGTATTTGAAGCCAGAAACTTGAAACAATGAAGAGAAAACGAATGGGAAACAACAGAGAGAAGACAACAGCAAAAAAAATCAACCTTCGGAACGTTTTTCATTTATTCATGTATCTTTCTAGAATCGAGATGTGTCGAATGTAATAACGTTTGTCTGGTGATGACGATTCGTTTTCCAAATCGTGATTGTGCAAATCGAACCTGCTGACTGCTGTTTCGGCCGATCGGGTCTTTACTCTTTCCCCGTACCAAAGGTTACTAATTGAAAATCATTACATATGTGTTTGTTTTACAGCATGAACCTTGACGTCTGCACTTAATGATTTATAATTTTTTTTTCCTCCTTTATTCATAGGAATATTGACAATAACAAAAATTTAAACGTTTCAATTAAAAAAAAAAACGTAAATAATTAAATTAAATGCTGAGCAATTCTCAGAGGAAGAAGAAAAAAATATAAATTAAATGCTGAGCAATTTTCAGAGGAAGAAGAAAAAAATCTAAATTAAATGCGGAGCAATTTTCAGAGGAAGAAGAAAAAAATCTAAATTAAATGCGGAGCAATTTTCAGAGGAAGAAGAAAAAAATTTAAACTGAATTGAGATTTCTCAAGATTGATTTCTGTAAATGTTGTTGATGATGATGAATAATGGTAATTAGTGATGTGATCTATGCTTTTCGATGCTCTTCGAAGACGTTACCGTGGTAACGGCATTCGTTGGGGCAATGGCAGCAGCAACAGTTGCCATAGAGATAAGTAGGATATGACGTCGAGCGTTTGCGCAATTGGTCACCAGGTGTATACTGTTATTTTGTTTATATATATATATAGATAAATAGTAATAACAAATTAAAAGGTGCATAATATTGAAATAAACTCATTGGTATTTGTTGCAGACTACAACGTGGAAACGTGCGCAGCGAGGACAGTGTGCTGATGTTTATGGTTCTCCTCTTCTGTGCGAATTAAGTTTCAAAGTGCTGCATGTGAGTGAGTAGTGAATAGGAATAAGTAACATCGCATATGAATAACAAAGCAAAACACAATTGTTTTTGAAAGCGAAATCGAAAACAGAACTAAGAACAAAGGAAGAGCCCGTTCCAGAAAAATAAAAAGTGGACAGACACTGTTATGTTTATGAGACAGAGACGGTAGAAGTAGAAACTTGCTGCGGATTGCGCAACGGTTTCTTTTGCAAATAATCAACTGAATATTGGCTGACATCTCGTCACCAGTATTTCCTTTCTTCGTCGTTTTCGTATCCCACGCGCGGCTCGTGGAACGTAACAAACATTTAGCGGCGACGATTGTCGTCCGCGGAAACGGCTTAAACTTAAACGCGTCCGTAATTTACATACACAATCAGTTCACCTTTGCCGACCAAACGGACAAGTTCAAAGAATCGTCTCCTTTGATCTTCACACACTTCGCTGCTACAGTTAACAGCAACCTTTGGTATAGATTTTTTGGATTACCACGAGGCTCCGCACTTTGTTTCCCCATTTTTTTATTAATTCCTATTTGCAGAATCATGTCTCTTCTGGATCGAATCGATGAGACTCCAATTCAGAATTTCTACAGGGATTGCAATATCTTCATCACAGGAGGGACCGGATTCCTAGGTAAATAAACAACATTTAAATAATTGTGAGAAGTTGTCTTACTTTGTCGTGTATTTTCAGGAAGGATTCTGATCGAGAAGTTGCTGCGATCATGTCCGGATATTCGCATGATCTATTTGCTGGTCAGGAACAAGAAGGATAAGGGCATCGAGTTGCGGTTGAACGAGCTCTTCGACGATGAGATCTTCAACTGTTTGCGCGAAGCTCGACCGGATTTCCGGAAGAAAGTGCGAGGTGTCGCCGGGGATTGCAGCGAAACCGATATCGGATTGAGCGAAACGGATAAAGAGATACTTTGCAACGAGGTAATTGAGTAAATAATTGGTATTGGTTATCAATAATCTTGCGATTAGATCAACATAGTGTTCCATGTGGCGGCGACGGTGAACTTTGACGAGAAGCTGCAGAAAGCGACGTTCATCAATATCAGAGGTACGAGGGATGTGTTGAAGTTGTGCAGCAGATGAGGAAACTGAAATTCGTGACGCACGTGTCGACGGCGTATGCACATTGCACGTACAAGAAACTGGAGGAGAAGTTCTACGTGGAAAAGTACAGCAGCGAAGCGGTGATCGCTCTGGCCGAGAACCTGCAGGAGGACGCCATGGAGAGCATCAAAGATACGTGAGTCTACACAACTACTTGTATTAGTAATAAGAATGATGATAATGATAACACGTTTTGTTTCTTGTAGATTGATGGAAAAGTTTCCCAACAGCTACGTGTTCACCAAATCGATTTCCGAAGATTTGATCGAAAAGAACAGCGATCTTCCCATCGCTTTGTACAGACCAGCAATCAGTAAGTTTATAATTTCATAGTTCTTCTAGAAATTATAAGAATTTTAGTTGTATGATTGTGACAAGTATGAAACAGCAAGTATTGATCTTGAAAGTTTTAGAAACCCTTCCTTTTTTTTCCCACAGTTCTAGTCTCTTCTGTTCTCTTTTCTTTTCTATACCACCGAATGTGTGTGTAATAAAATTGGGTGCCGGCTGCAAGTAACGCGATTACCGTCTGGGAATGGATCCCATTTCAAGATCATTGCCACGTCACGCCAGGACCGGAATCGAAATTTATCCCATCTCATCCTCCCTTTTTCCACACTTTCCCTTTAAATCCAGCCGCATAAAAAAAAGTTCCCAAGTCCTCCTCATAGGGTAGCTGAAATATTCATGATGCCGTCAGCGTAGATAGAAAGAAGAAAAATAAAGGAACATTCGAAAATGTTTTATCGATATGGAAAATACCTCGTTGCATAGTTTCGCGTCCATTCCAAAACCTTTAGAGAGAAAATTGCACCTATTCTATTTTTATTCCAGTGGAATCTGCAAAATTAGATGATTCATTCGTTCAATTGATCATTTCTTTTTATTGTTTAATGACAGGTTGTCAAAGTTAATTAGTATTAATTGCTCGATTAAAACGCACGTACAAACGATAAAATAAAAGTCCAATCGAGTCGAAATTATCTGAAAGAAGAGTAAAAGGGAATCGGAATTGTATTTTACGGCCTTCGAACGAATTGGCTCTACGCTTCTCTTACATATAATTATTATTTTTATGTTTTCTCTCTTAGTTTTTATTGATCATGTAACACGCAAACGTTAATCAAACACTTGTACAAATATTGGTACATATGAAACGTGTGCGGTGTTACATCCTGGTTGGCTGTTGTTGCTTGGAGCAATTCCAATTGGAAATTAAGCGCAAACAGACGAAGGTCGAGATGGTCGTTAATACCCCGAGGATCGGTTCTGCGTCCTAAACATTATTGACGTTTGTTTGTTTGTTGGTTGTAGTCGTTTCGACGTACAAGGAACCGGTGCCCGGTTGGATAAACAATTTCTACGGGCCACAGGGTGTGAGCACCGCGGCGATGATTGGATTGCTGAGAAGTCTCCACTGCGATGAAGATTTGAATGCAAACATAGTCCCGGTGGATATGTGCGTTAACGCTTTGATCACCATCCCCTGGCAAGCTAGACGCAAATACGATGAAGCCCAAGAGAAGAAGAAGGTACGACGATCGAGATGTATAAGTTGTGTAGCAGTGTTTCTAAAGTACGTTTGTAGGAGAGCGTCGAGAAGTACAAACCGCCAATCTACTACTACGAATCCGACACCAATCAGCCAATCGATTGGAAGCTCTTCAAGATATTAACGAAACAGTACGGCATCGAATACATCTCCTCGAAAATGTTGGGCGTCTACTTCTTTCATCTGAGGAAGAACAAGCTCAACCACAATATAGCCATCATTTTCATGCACTATCTGCCCGCTATAGTGCTGGATGGCATCTGCATGATCATCGGAAAGAAACCGATGTAAAATATTGATATTAAGCTGTGCGCGCGTTTTTCAACCACGCTGATGATGTTTGTTTGTTCGATGCAGGTTGTGGAAGGCGTACAACAAGATTCACAGATTCACCGACGTCATATCGTATTTCGCCACCGTCAAATGGCAGTTCTCGTCGGTGAACATGAGGAATCTCTGGACGGAGATGTCGGACAGGGACAAGGATTTGTTCCCGTGCGATTTGGGTCGTCTCGATTGGAACGAGTTCTTCCGGACGTATCTGAAAGGATGCAAGCTTTATCTGCTGAAGGAGAGTCTGGATTCAGTGGAAGAGGCCAAAACGAGGTATTTCAAGCTGCAGGTATACACGGCCATCGGCATCTCCGTTGTCGTCCTACTCTTATTAGGTCTCCTGTGGCTTCTGTGGCGTTTGATCTGTTGAAACGCCAAGAACGAAATAATAAAGGAATTACTATGCTGTGTTTACTCGTTAAGTAAATCCACCCGTCTCCGTCCCTCACTCGACATCCCATCCCGAAATTGAAAATCGGCTTTGAGTCAGCGGTGAGTAATGCATGTTTCCGGTTTCCTTCCGCCGTCGCCCGCTTTATGAATGGACGTGTCTCTGTCGTTGCCAGAGAGGTGGAAAGTGGAATGGAGTGCAGTGTGGGGCGTCAGAACCGCAGCAGTGGGTGTAGTAAGGGGGGGCGGCACAGAAGACCAATCTAGTACACAGCAAATGAGTCAGACTGCTCCTGCCTCCAAATGCTCACTCATACAGATAATCAAGATTAGTAACTATAAATAGGAACAATTGGATTTGTCTCTAATCAATCGTTACTTAACTAGAAAACATTAAATATTGGATGAATACAGTTTAGATAACATTGAAATACATCGGACAATCATTCAATTACTACATTAAATACACGTTGCTTTTTATTTTCAAGTTATCTACTTTGGAACAACTTTAAAATATGTAAATGGACATTAAAATATTCATAGTCTTCATGAATTATTGTTCGAGAACGAAAAAGATAACTAGAGGTTGTGAGAGCCCTTCTTAACATTCATGAAGTTTTCTTATACCGTTATGAATGTATAATTTACAAACAAACAGATTCGCACCAGAGAGCAGAGTCTACGCACTCTACAGAGTGAAGAAGAAAAAGAACAAGCTTAGTTTGGGGGATGGATCGAGTCCTGAATTAATGGTGAGGGGTTTTGTATGTTATAGGAGTAGGAGAAGGTGACTTCAGCTCAGATCGGCGGGTGTCGACTCTGTTCAATGGAGGCAAGCAGCAAGCAAACGGCAGATCGATAGTGGCAGCACGATCGCCCTTCTCCCTTTCCACCCAAAAAGTCCACCCTTTTTCCCCGTCGTCTGCTGCTACTGCTCGACGCGAGAGAGTCCTCAGCTCGAGCCAGTTTCATCCGCCAGAAGCGGAAGAGAGGAGACGCGACGACCGAAGAGGGAACTGATACAACTATCTGCTATATTCAATACCAAAAGGAAAAATAGGAAGAGATTTGCAGGTAAGCATTGACGATTCTAACTTGATTATTGAATTGTTGGATTTGGAAATGGGAAATGAATGGGCGAAACAGAGGAGACGTTGAGAAGACGGAATCAAATGCGGGGTTGTATTATCGACCACCCCCCAACAAAAATTGCTTTAACCTATTTCCTCTTTACTTCTTTTTCTCTCTTGTTTCATTCCATGGTTATATGTTTTATAATAAGCTATCGATTAATGAATGAGAGAGAGTTTGGGTCAATGGATTTCTCTGATTGCGGTTTTGGTTACGCGTTATTTCCTGAACGTGTGGAACTGCTGCAGGAAGCCAATAATAACGATGTTAATTGTTATTTTTTTTTTGTTAGTTTAGTGCGACCAAGGACTTTCTCTCCCGTCATCCTCCTCCTCTCGGTCGTCTCTGCATGCGTGTGTGCGGCATCTTCTCAATTGGCAGTAGCAGTAGAGCGTAAGCAGCGACGATGCTTTACGTCCCGTTGATCGTCGGCTTCTCGCTGGTCGCCTTCGGATACACCCAGGATCTGGAGCTGCAACCGGCCTACAATCAATCAATTGGAACTAAACGTAATACAAGTTGCCCTTCTTTATTACCCTGTTTAGAGAAATCTTATTTCCTTTTTCGCTTTCCCCCAGAGTTGACGACGGAGGCGGCTGCGATGACGCCACCTCAGATGATGATGATGATCACCACCACGACAACGACCACCACCGATTTCAATTTCAACACATCCGCACCCGTCGAATACGAAACGAGCATGCAGCGTGCGCTAGCTTGGTTGGTGACCCAAAGGAATCAGGATTACGGCTGGAACAACGATACGGCCAAGGTGCTGATGGCGCTGCAGCTGGTGCAGCTCGAGGAGGCGACCATTGCTTCCATCGTGCCCGCGCAGCTCGAGATGCAGCTCTCCATGAAACAGCTGGAAGTGGAGATCGTCATCCTTCTGTGGAGGCACCACGAGATTCCTATCACACCGCCGAAGTTGGCGCAGTACACGTTGGCGTTGAACAGCCTCTGCCAAGATCCGAGGCAGTTCCACGGGCACGATCTTATCGGTACGCTGCAGCACCACGAACCTCCTCACGACCTGGACTTTGCGTACGCCACTTTGGCGGCGTGCTCCTCGAAGGCGCACGTCCGCAAGAAGCAGATCCGCAGGTTGCTGGACATCGCAAACACCGCTAACGATCACAACATTGGTAATACTTGCAGTATAAAAATGTGAAAGCGATAATTATTTCTCTTACAGATACTGTATCAATGACGATAATCGCTCTGAAATGCATCGTGAAGGATCACAGACATCGTAACCTGCAGCATTCCATTCGAAGGCCGTGCATCAGCTTGGGAAGGCAACAGATGCCCGACGGCGGTTTCGGAAACGTCTACAATACGGCCCTGGCTTTGCAGGTACAGTTACTTTATACAAATCCTGTAGATTCCTTTATATAGGTCATTCCACTTTTGTTTTACAAGATGACCTTTTTTTCTAAATAGGTCACAAGGATAGATGTTTACTCGAATGCAATTATAGCTGAATCTGTAATGAATCTAATAGTTTTCAATTGATGTACTTTTCGTAGGCGCTGCAGGATGTCTCCGATATTGGAGCTTATTGGAACAGGACAGCTGCGATCCTTTATTTGGAGAGCAAACAGGATCCAGATGGAGCGTTCACCGATGCAGGACTTACGGCCGACGTGGTTCTGGCTCTCAACTCGAAGGGTTTGGGAAACATCCGCAGTTTGGAGTGTGATGGACACGAGTCGGACCTGGAGAATCACGGTTGGTGGTTTTTGATTGATTGTTGCTGAAAGAGTCAACAATGATGATCGTCGTGTTGTGTTTCAGTGGAATTGGATGGCATCACCAAATCTATAGCCTCGCACATGTACAACGACTCCGACCCGAGGAACATCACCGTCTCTTACACCCTCTGGGTGGGCACCAACGTCTCGGAGAACTACACCGTCTGGTTGACAGCCCTCAGGAACACCTCCTTCTACAGCATCATGCAGATGGCAGCCGACGCGGATCCCCATTACAACTTCGAAGCATCCGAATGGCCCAACGGTCACTACGTGCACACCCTGGCCGGATACAAGGAGGAACCCATGGGATATCATTACTGGTTGCTGTACAGGCTGCCCGAACTACCCGACCCCCAGACGCCACCTGCCAATCAACTCGTTGCTCCAGTCGGTAAGTACACCTCACCTCCCACAACAAACCACCAACCTTTGCCCCACCTCACACATTAAAATATCCGCAAATATTAACAACAACCCTAACACTGTAACCTGTTATTTCTCAGGAGTGGACGATCTGCTAATCGAAGAAGGCGACCACTACCTCTTTTGGTACAAGAAGTTGTAAACGCAAGCAACGGCACTAAAGAAACGAATAGCTGCTTCTAAAAATAATCGCAAACCGCAAAAAAAAACAACTTTAAAATACCAAAAAAAATAATTAAACAGCTCTAACGCAAAATGCACACAAGGAGGCATTGAAAACCGGAAGCGGAAAGGCATTTTGTTTCCACTTCACGTTCTAGAGTATTCGCTTCGAACCTAACTAACTTTTAAAAAAAAACGGCCTTTTTCTCCGACTCAATAATCAATCAATCTCGATCTTCTCTTCGGAACGATTTCGTTTCCTTCTCCGAGGATAATTAATCATCAATCACTGTGATTCAACTGTTGTTCAGTATTTGCGGAAATGGGGAGGGATAATCATTACAGAAACACACACACGCAAACACCACATCTCTGCCAAGGAAGAGAGAGAAAGAGGAGATGTATGTAGAATGAGAGAGAGATTCACAAAAGTTGCGTAAGGTTTACTTTATTACTTACGCACATTTACAACAGCAAGAATTATGTTTTTCGTGTGCGTGCGTGTATATATAATATATATACGATATTTAAAAAGAAAACAAAAAAAAAGCATATTTATAATGATAATAATATATAATAAAAAAAGAAAACTATATTACGTATACATATATTGATTACATATGTATAAAATATGTATAGTGACAGGTTTTCAGGCAATCTGTAAACAATCACCATCATCAGACCTGTAAATCCGTCACTATAGCAACAAAACCAAAATGAAACAAAGAAAGGAAGGTATCCATGTATAAATAATAACAACAACAACAACAAAAGAAAAAAAGCAAAGCGTGTATTATTTTGTATGTATACATTATTTTTTAAGAAATGTTTTTTCATGAATGCGACAATACGATTTTCTTCTGTTTCGAGTTGTTGTTACGCGAGGCTTCAAAATTTAGTTTTTCGTTTTTCTTTTGTCTTCGAAATAATATTATTAATAATAATATTCGGAGGAGAACAACAAAAATAATGAACAAAAAAAAAGTTATGTTACACGAGAATTGTTACCAAAGTATGAAATAAATAAATAAATGATTAATGATAAAATATGATAAAATATAAGTGAATAACATAACTGAATATTTTTGTTAATATTTGGCTTGAAATAAAATAAAATTGATACAAAAAAAAATAATAATAATATAATATTAATGTTGCGTTGTTCTTTTCACCCCATTTCCAATCCTTTAATTGTTTATTTAATTATTGTTTTGTTCAGGAAATTACATGGAAACCTGAAAAGTTACCTGAAACGATGACGTTAGAAAGTAACGATGGCAACCAAGTGTACACGCTCCATTTTTATTTGGTAAGTATTGAAGAAGTTTAATATTGTACAGGAAGACAGAGATTCGCTGATGAGACTCTTGAATGATTTGGATGAGAAGAAAGAGATGGCTCTTCGATTGGCGTTGTACGTTCAAGTCAAACAGGATTTCGGGTCGATATTCGGGTTGCTGTTGTCAGGATCGTTTGCGTTTCTGGCTCCGCCCATGGGAAAGACGATTATGGATTGGAGGTGCTTGTGAATGTGGGCGGAGTTTGGAAGGACAGTCTGACGGAAATGAGCGGAGATCAACGATTGTTCTCTCGCAAACACTCAGAATATCAGTTTAGATTAGTTATTAATCACAACTACAACAATTTACTTAAGCCTATGTTTCAGTTCATTGTCGTCTCGTTGAAAGAGGAAATGTTCAATAATGCCAATGTACTCTTCAAGACTCGATTCATAGATGGTACTTCGAGCGTCATTGGAACTGTCAAGGCGAATTGAAATATTTGCAACTACAAAAAGTGCAAAGGTAGGTAGTTAGCATAGATAATTACAATCAATAGAAAACACGTAATCAGTATTACTAACAACGTTTTGAAAGTTTCTCAAAAACATAATGAATCAATTCAGAAAGTGTTTTCAAATTAATTTTGGGAAAGAAACTTGTGGATTGGAAGGATAATTAATTATGGTCGTTTTATAATATGACTGTTGTTGTTTTTCGATTAAATTATTATGTAACTAGAAATAGAATTAAAAAATATAAAAACTTGAAACTTAAAAATGAACGACCAGCGACAGAAGAAGCAGGCCTATTGCGGAGAAATCGCGCGTCAATGAGACGGCAGACGAAGTCTTCGTCTTTTTGTCCTCGTTCACTGGAATCTCGTTCTCCTTGTTCCTCTTGATCTCCTCGAGCGTCAGTTCGATGGCCCTGTTTATCGATCGCATCAGCGGGAAGTTCGTGTACCTGCTGGGATTCGTCTGCGGATCATCGGCGCAATCACCTTGGAAGTCGTCGGTGTCCATCGACCAGACCATCGCACCGGCCAGACCCTTCTCCATCGCCAACTTCACCTTCTCCCCAATTGATCTCTCATCGTCGTACGAGATGACGCGATCCTCGCTGACGGCGAACGGAGTACGCGTCTCCTCGTCCCAGTGCTTCTGGTAACCAGCAGAAGAGTTCTTCAGTACCAAGCAGATCTACGCAAAAGATAATGTAGTGTTATATGAACGGCAGACAGGCAGGAGAATGGATAATTCACCTCGTTGTAACCCATGAAACCGTTCTCTTTGGTGAACGGACCACGGAATCCGACCGTTTGCGCGGCTTCGCCCAATTTACGTGTGCGAGCGCCCATCACCGAATCCGGATCTGTCAGCAGGAACGTCCTACCATAGAGCGGAAGACCCACGACCAATTTGTTCGCCGGAGTTCCCAATTTCAACATGTAATCAATTGTGTATTCCTGTAATTCATTCGAGACAATTCAATTTATATATCTAGTTTTCATCCATTTCTATATACTTACGACGTTCAGGACGTCGGCGCTCTTCAGGGGCGCATTAGCTCCGGTCATCTTGTCCCAAGATCCGTGGTAATCGTAGCACATCATGTGCACGTAATCCAAGTAATAGGAGAGTCCGGCCACGTCGTAGGCGATGTCGATCGTATCTTTTCCAGCGCCGAAAGCCGCAGTCAGCAGCAGGTTGAACTTGTTGAAGGCCGCCCGCAGCTCCTTGACGAACAGCAGGAAATTCCTCTTGTCCATCTGGGGATTACCGCCGCGCTTCCCGGGGAACTCCCAATCCAGATCCAGACCATCGAACTTGTACTTTCTGCGCAAAGTAATTGGAAAGAAAGATGAAGAAATTTACAAAAAAAAATAATGAAGACTAACTGTAAAAAGTCGACGGCGTTCGCGATGAATCTGCCGCGTTTTCCTGGATCCGCAACCAGAGTCGAATAGTTCGCGGATCCTTCGTTCCATCCGCCGATGGCCAGAGTCACCTTCAGATGCGGATATCTGTCTTTGAGACCGACGAGACGGCTGTAACCGCCTTTACCGTAATCATCCTTCAAATCCTGCCAAGGATCTGCGAATTATAATAATGATGCGGTCACATTATTATTATTATGGTTTCGAAGGAAAAGAATGTTAATCACCTAAAGACCTAATGGCGTCGTGCGTAACGTTCAGACCAGCGAAAGAGTAGACCAAGTGCGTGCAGACGTTGGGGTCGATGTTCTCAATCGCGAACGATCCTCGGCCCGGCCTGTACACCGCCCATGTTCCCACATAACACACCACGACCTTTCCATGTACGGGACCTATCGTAACACATATTCATCATCATTACCGTCATCATCATCATCAACACAAAGAACCGTTTCACTCACCCGTAAAGTCTCCGGCTTCTGCAAACTGCCAGAGCACCAGGACTCCGGCGAAGAGTCTCAGCAGGAGGCCGCTCATCTTCGCGCTTCTTGCACACGCACACACAAACAGATTGAAAAATACCAGTTTAGGAGCGGAAATTTGGAACGTCGAACGTGGCTGTTGCTGCTGCTGCTTGCGGTCACTCTTTCGCACCTTTCTCTACCGACAACAGGTCAACAGCAAAGGTGGGGGACAACGCGGACCAAGGTGAAACGGTTGTCGCCGCCGCTTCTTTAACAACATACGTACAGACCTATTGGTGAAGGCCGTCTTTCACCTCTGCCCCACTACCACATCACATCCACCGCCACTCGTTCTTTTTGTTGTTATATGGTCATAGAAATGCTCTTTAATTCCGCATTACTCATTCATTTTCACCGGAAACCTACGATAACATAACATTAATTTCATTAAAATATTTGCATCCTCTTACATGCAATAAAATTCAAATTTCTTCCTGACAAGAATCAAAATCAATCGATTATAATATTAATAGGTCATTATATAGTCCTTAGTCATTCATTTTCAGCGGAAATCTAGAAACTCATGTAAAATTTTTCAAACGCTCCTCAAGACTTGCATTCTGGAATGCAACAAAATTGACATCCTACGATTCCTATTGATTACATTTCCAAAATACAACATTTAAAATAGAAATTATATCAAAGTTTGAAACATTTTACACAAATTCGTTTAAACTTGCGGTGATTAAAGTGATAATAGAACATTGAAACAACAGTATTTAAGTAGTCCGAAATGCACTATCTCTATTTATTGATGAAATTTGTTCCATTAATAATGATAAGAATATGAATAATATAAGTTTACAATTAGTCATCGAATTCAAAGTTTTTGCGTGCACATATTTGAAAAACATAGGTGAAGTTTGCCACGGAACGCGTAGAGGCCTAATGTATTATAAACTTTAAATTATCACATTCAGGTCCGAATTGGAACGCTCATTCAACTATAGTAAATGATGTATTAATGCCAGTTGGATTCGTTGCGGTGAGGCTTCATAATTAAATATCTTTTTAGCTAATTATTTATGTAACGGTGACTGTTGTATTAGGCAACAGTGGTCGGTTATTATAAGGAATCTGGTGTAATCATATCTGACAGTTGTTGTTGGCTGAAACTGGTTGAAAACGTTATAACAACAAATAGTTGTTGTTTTTCTTTGTGCAAGTTAATTTCCAGGTTCGTTGACATTGATGTTATTGTTGTTGTTGGCTGCTCGATTGATACAGTGCAGCAGGTGCACAGTTGAAAAATGAAATTTTGTTATAGCTATAAATAGCTTTGACCCCAAGAGGAATTAAGAGTAGCAGTAGCAGAAGTTCTAGGGAAACAGTGTGCTATGATAAATAATGGTAATGGACAAATATTACCAACAAAACCAACTGCACGAGCTGTGGGACAAGATGAGAGCACTGCACCTCAGCTACCTCCAATTGGATGAGTGCCAGCAGAAAGTCGACCAGAGGCACAAGCTTCAAGGTATTTACTCCATCGAGGATTCCATTAATATATAAATATAATGTAATTGATTTATCGTCTGTAGAATGCATCAACAAGTTCCTGTGCCAGGCGCCTCATAATCAGAAATTTTTTATGAAGGAGACGTCGGACGTGCTGCACAGGTCGGCGAGCAGCAAGAAGGATTTCAGCGGATATAAAGCGGCGCTCGGATTCAACGCGATCAGCATGTACGCTGCGAATTTGCTGTCTCAGCCGTGGAGGAGAGAATACAAGCAGATCAAAGTAACTGAATGCATCCGGATGTGTGTGTGTGTGTTTAACTGTGCAGTTATTACTATTTATTGCAGATGTATTCTGGTTATTACAAGCATCAAATTGAATCGAATCTGCTGGGTGCTGAAACGCTCTTTGAAGCGATGGGGTACAGGCAGAACGGGCAAGGGGTGCTTATTTTGGATGAGCCGATTTGCCCCGATCGGCTGTCGAACGTCTCGCAAGATACTTTGGTTGCCTACGTCGAGTGTCAGGTGCGTGCTTGATTTATTTTTTTGAAACAGAGGAAGTATCTTTTTGGTATTTGTAGATCTTGAACACGATTTGGGAGGAGGTTTGCGCCGTCTACAACGTCAAATGGTTGGACGTGCTGAAGTTCCGCGAAGAGTATCTGTGCAGTCCGAAGCAATCGGTGAACGCTCTAATTTACAACTACCATCAGAAGCAGTGGGCGGTCGAACCGTCGTCACCGCTCGAAGCTCCGCCCAAGTATTACTATCATAGGGCGGTGCCAGCACCGTCGTCTCCTCCACCACCCACCTACATCTACGCTGCCCCGCCTCCCGTCTGTTACGCCACCAATTACATGCCGCATCACTACCAAGCCAAGTACGCGCCGCCGCCCCCTGTGCAAATGGTTCAGCCGCAGTACGCCTATAACGGCGTGCCGACAGCGCAACTCATCGAGCTGGACGCATGCAATCAGCCTGTGAATCAGTACTACGATGTGCTCGAGAAGAGGATGAAAACTTTGCACGTTGCGGACGAGAGCAGGAAGACGACGCCGAACGACGACAAGAACTCCGACGTTAATTCGGAGGGTAACGAGAATTGGGATTACGTCTATCGCAATCTGGAGAGCAAAGGTTATTACAACGAGATGCTGCACTCGTCGCAGCCGCCCGTAGAGGACACGAAGAGCCGACGCTCGAGAAACAAGGAAACTTTGCACGCCACGTACAAGGAGAAAGAGAAGAAGCGCGAAAGCTATTACGATAACGTTGCCAGTCCGGAGGTGGCGACCAAGAAGAAGAGCAAGAGCAGCAAAACGACAACGAGTAACGGCAATTACAAGGAGGACACGGTGAAGCCGCAAAAAAAGACCTCTTCGTCGTCGACAACTGCGGGATGGCACTGCACGAGCTGCACCTTCCTGAACAAGAGCGAAGCGACAATTTGCGAGATGTGCAACAAGAGCAGGATGGCGCCCGAACTGGAGGAGATCGCAGTCGGCGGTTCAGAGTGCACGAACTGCACGTACGTGAACGCGAAGGACAAGAAGATTTGCGACGTCTGCGGTTGCAGTCTGGACAATTCACCCACGTACATTTGAACCAACCCATCCATCCATTCACTAATAATAATACATTTGTTAAAGAAAAAGAAAACGAGAAAAAAAAATTAACTTACCTTAACGAAGCTCTTCGTATTTCTTATCCAAAAAACCTACAGAAATGAACAGCATAATTTAATGATTTTAAACGAGTTTTTCGATTAGGTAATATACTTCTTCGGTTCACGGTCAACCGGTTCGTGCGGACATAACGTGCGCCACGTAGAGCAGGTTGCATATGTATTGCGTAATTTCACTGTAAACTCACTTGTTGCCAGATACCGCAGTAGAGTACAGGTGTTTCTGATTTCGATTGAAAAAAAAATGGGTATCACATTGTATCATTTTCCGCCGAGCGCTCCCTCCCGGTGCGCTCTGCTCGTCTGCAAGGCTCTCGGCTTGGACGTAGACGTGCAGATCGTGGACCTCTTCGCCAAGGAGCAACTTAAACCGGACTTCGTGCAGGTTTGAGGTTAATCACAAAAACTATTTCCCCCTATCATCTGTTTACGTTTCCATCGCACGCTTAGATCAACCCTCAGCATTGCGTGCCAACCCTAACCGATGGTGATTGCACGATCTGGGAGAGCCGAGCCATCGCTTCGTATCTGGTCAACGTTTACGGAAAGGACGATAGTCTCTATCCGAAAGACCCCAAGCAGAGAGCCATCGTCGATCAGCGTTTGCACTTCGATTGCGGCACTCTCTACCCTCGCATTCGAGCGATCTGCGTAAACATTACCATCTTAATTTCTTGAAATTTCTCACCTCGCTAACGTTTTATCTGCATACAGTTCCCAGTGTTGTTCTTGGGCGAAGTCGAGATTGACGAGGACAAGAAGGCGTCTCTGGAGGAAGCCATCGGATTCCTGGACATCTTCCTCGAGGGAAACAACTTTATGGCCGGCACCAATTTGACCATCGCCGATATTTCAATTGCAGCCTCACTGTCCAGCATCATCGTAATTTCATCTATCTATTCATAAAGAAAAGAACGGATTAATTGTCTATAATTGCAAACATTCTTTCAGGCTGTTGGTTGGGACATTTCCGCCTACTCTAACGTGGCTGCATGGTTCGCCAAGTGCTCTTTGGAAATCCCTGGATACGTGGAGGCCAATCAAACAGGCGCTGATCAATTTGGAAAGGCCGTCAAGAGCAAATTGGCTCCAGGACAAATTTAAAAATCTTCCATATTCTTTTTGTTACTTTTCAATAAAATTTCAATAGCATTTTGCATTTGCTACTATCATCCGAATAACACTGTTGGTTTGGTTGCATATATAGAAGTTTACGTTGAACTTATGGCAACAGGTCCAATTTTTCAAATGCTGCAAAGTTTTATTACAATGTAGAATGCAATGAAGGAAATGTGTTACAAGTTCATTAAAGCAATTGAATTCAAAGAATTCAGAAAATATTGATTATTAAAGCTGTGAATTAAGTCTAAATTATGGATTTTTAATCATTCATAATTGTTCGACCAATGAACGCAGCTCGCGCTTGACGTTCCGAAGAACTGAGTGGGAGTAAACGTCATCATCATCTGTCAAAACCGTGGCCGGACGACGTGCGCTCTGTGTGTATGGTGGGATGTTCGTTGTTTTGTTTATTTGTTAACGATTGAGAAAGAGAGAAAGAATTTAGGGAAAGGCATGAGGATTACCTTGGATTCGTACGGATGATTAGATCCTAATGAGAATTCTGTTATCGGTTTCTTCCTCCTCCACCTCCTCCTCCTCCTACTCCAACATCATAATCACCAACAACCCTCCCGTTTCGGCCGGCTGTGCAAACAAAACAAAAACAAAATCGTAATCAACAATCCAAAGCACACTCTGTCCCATACGTTCAGTTTAATTTACGCATTCCATTTGTTAGATTCAGCATTAGAATCATTCATAACAAAAAATAATGTTTATGTTGAGTGAAGAAAACTAAGGTTATCCGTGTGAAAGATGGATGGAGAGAGCATAGGCTCGAGCCTGACAAAGCCACAGAGGCTGGTGCTGGGGTGTTTTGTGTTGTTTTTAGTTGACGTGATATGGGTTTCATCATCAGAGCTCACAAAAGTTTGTATATTCAATACTTGCACACTTATCATCATCTGTACTAATGTTATTTTTCAGTACATCTATCACAATGAGCAGTTCGAGAAGCCGTTTTTCTGCACGTACGTTAAAACGTCCATGTTCACAATGTATCTACTCGGATTCTGCTTTTGGCCGCCGTGGAGGGATTACTGCAGCAAACCCAATAACTACATGGTAAACTATACAAACTATAATCATTCAAGTCTTGTTATTTTCGTGTTGTTTTAGTTCATTGACCCTGAGCAGGAGGATGAGAACTTCTACTCTGAAGCCAACACAAGTTTGGTAAAGTTATCCAAAGTTCTTCATGGATTTGTGGATTAATTAATTTTTTTTTTGTTGGATCAGAGCAATCCGGTTTACGTTCCGGTGAAGACGCCCGAACGCGAAACGGTGGATCTGTCGAGCGGCACGGAGAGCGACGACTCCTCGACCAGATCGGTACGATTCAACAAGTTGGCCGAGGTCCGACACATGTCCGAGCTGGAGGCGACGGAAGCGCTGCTGGCGAGGCTCTCGTATCAAGCGAGCGTTAGGGCTGGGGAGATGGCCAAAAGGGCCGCCACCAAATTGCCCGTCTTCAAGGTGGCCAAGGTGGCGTTGATCTTCTGTTTGCTGGTAACTATCATCGATCGTCGTAGCTACGAAAACAAAATCAAACTAACTTTTTCCTTCAGTGGTTCTTCGCCAACTACACGTTTCAGGTGGCTTTGGCGCAGACGGAAGCCGGAATGGTCACAGTCCTTTCCACGATGTCGAGCTTCTTCACGTTGGTTTTGGCCGCGCTCTTTCCTTCCAGCCAGATGGACAAGTTCACGCTTTCCAAACTGCTGGCCATCGTCTTCAGCATCGCCGGAGTGGTATGCAACTTCATCAACATTTTTCTCTTAATTACTTACATCAATTTGCAGATAATGGTGAGCCTCTCGGATATAGGCAAGGAATCCCACGTGCCGCTCGGCGTCGTCCTTTCACTGTTCAGCGCCTTCTTTTACGCGGCGTACATAGTTTTCCTGAAGCGTCACGTCGATCACGAAGACAAAATGGACATCCCACTGTTCTTCGGTTTCGTCGGCTTCTTCAACCTCGTCCTCCTCTGGCCTCTGTTCTTCTTCCTTCACATGCAGCAATGGGAGAAGTTCGAGTGGCCCAGCAAGCACCAGCTCCTCTTCCTGCTGCTGAACGGCCTCCTCGGCACCGTCATCTCCGAGGCGCTGTGGCTGTGGGGCTGCTTCCTCACCTCTTCGTTGCTGGCCACCGTCGCCATCAGTCTGACCATTCCGCTGACGATGCTCGTCGACGTCCTCCTCAAGAAGGTCACCTATCCGTGCATGTTCTACGCGGGCACCTTCCCCATGATCGTCGCGTTCGTCTCGGTGTGCGTGCTCTCGCACTACGAAACCTGGGACCCGGCGCTGGACGCCATCCGGTACGTCTACCACGCCTTCTGCCGGCGAAATCGTTTCCGCTTCCGGTTTCCCGAGATGCAATCGGAACAGACGGAAGCACTCATCGGCATCAACTGCGAGCACGAGGCCTGATCCCCCCCTGCAAATCAAACAAAATCAACATTTATTTTTTTCCAAAACCTACTCAATTCTTTCATTATTATGATTATAATTTTCCATGAGAATTCCGTGAAAGTGGAAACTGTGATTTCGATTCTTTCAGTTATTATTACTAAATAATATTGTGATTTTTATGATTATATATATATACATATACTATTATTACTTGTATAAGAGAAAAAAAGAGAAAAGATAATATTGTGGCCCACATGTTTAATATTTTAATCTATATACATACATTATATATATATACAGAAGAAGTTGATACTATAATCAGAAACTACATGTCTTTCCAATCCACAAAGTCGATGTTCAAAACGTTCCAAGTGTTCTTAAAGGTCTCTTCAAGAAAATATCTACAATTATTTTAATCTAGAGCAGACTGTGTGTGCGTGTATATTTAGGATTTAGTAGCGAAATAGATTGGTGAAAAGATTCTACAATTTCAATTTAAAACCCGTTCCATTAAAAAAAAACAATTAAAACCCTCATTTGAATCCGACAATCAAAACGTCACAAGACAAATTTGATGATAATTGAGTTGCCTATATAACAAATATTGTGATAATTAAGATCAAAGGGAATTTAATGATTATCGTAATTTGCTTCCAACAAGCAAAATATTTAAACAGCAATTTACGCCCGAAACGATAATCAAACTACAATTTCGCTTCGTCAGACAATGAAAACAACGCCGAATTCACCAAATATTGGTGTAAAGATAATTTAATGATTGCATAAGTAAATTTATACAATAAATACTTATGTTGTTTGTATATGGAAAAACGACTGATATTAAATTAAGGAGAATTTAATGAGCGTAAACAAAACTAAATCATTTGTTTTCGTACGCAATAAAATAATTGCGTTTTGCCGTTGCCAATGGAAACGGAAATTTTCATGTGTATCCGGAGGCGGCTGCGACTGGCAGCAGGTTTGAAGCGACACGGCCGTCGGCGCACTCTATGCAATTATTCGACGGTAATGTGTTTTTAATATATTTTGCGAAGTCGCAGATGTTGGTGGCGGCGGCAGCGACCACCCCCGGCGGTGGTGGGCGGATGGCGGCGGCACAGCGGGTTCGAAGCAGCCGCCACCGCCGAACGTGCACAAAAACCGCCGCCTAGATTGAAAGAGACAGCAAAAAACAAAAAGCAACAAACATTGTATAAAACAAAACATATCGTAACATCGACAGCTTGATTCATATCGCGCCTAGTGTGCACGCAGCTTTTTTTTTTCTAAGGGCGCCGTTTTTTGAATGAACAAATTTAACGAGAATTTAGTGAGAGTCTAGGTATACAGTCGTTTGTATGCAAATACGCGCACCTCGTTTAGATTCAAAATGAACCCAAAGATTCTTCGTTTCATTTTATTTTTCCATTATGTATGTTATTTTAATCAAGATCGAATTTTCTCTTTTTCGTTTATGTATTTTATGTATGAAATATATGAAAAAGGAAGGGAGCGAAAAGCATGGAAGCGTTTAAAGGTGGATGAGAAGGGGGCGAAGTCCATTAAAGTTTCATCGGTTCAAGTGTTATCGTATTTATACATCGGAGGCGGCGGTGGCGACGATAAAGGGCGACTGGAACACGACTGAGAGATAGAAACGAATTACGTGATACTTGTCAAGTGGAAACTACGCAACCATGATCAAAACATGATTATAAACAAAAGAACAATACTTGCCAAGTAAAAAGTACTTTATACTATTGTTTATAAAATAAAAACAGTCATACTTGTCAAGTGGAAACTACGCAACTATAATCAAATCATGATTATATAAAAAAAGAGAAATACTTGTCAAGTAAAATGTACTTTATACTATTGTTTATAAAATACTTGTCAAGTGGAAACTACGCAACTATGATCAAATCATGATTATAAAGAAAAGAGCAATACTTGCCAAGTAAAAAGTATTTTATACTATTGTTTATAAAAAACAGTCATACTTGTCAAGTGGAAACTACGCAACTATGATCAAATCATGATTATATAAAAAAAGAGCAATACTTGCCAAGTAAAAAGTACTTTATACTATTGTTTATAAAAAAAAACAGTCATAGTTGTCAAGTGGAAACTACGCAACTATGATCAAATCATGATTATATAAAAAAAAGAGCAATATTTGCCAAGTAAAAAGTACTTTATACTATTGTTCATAAAATAAAAAACAGTCATACTTGTCAAGTGGAAACTACGCAACTATGATCAAATCATGATTATATAAAAAAAGAGCAATATTTGCCAAGTAAAAAGTACGTTATACTATTGTTCATAAAATAAAAAACAGTCATACTTGTCAAGTGGAAACTACGCAACTATGATCAAATAATAATTATATAAAAAAAGAGCAATATTTGCCAAGTAAAAAGTACTTTATACTATTGTTTATAAAAATAAACAAAGCTTTACTTGGTTTTCAATTAATTTTAGTTTTGATGAAAGTCTGGGATGTAGGAAGCAGAAGTGTAGTAAGTAAGTTCTAATAATAAAGTGTACGTAATGAAATGAGAAAATAAGCAAAAATAAAAACGTGAGTTTGGATTTTCAATTTGCGGAGAGAAAACGGGTGGATGGCGGCCCCCCGCTTTTTTTCCCCACCGTCGGTGGCTGGTGGCGGCGAACAAACGAAGCCCGGGCGGCTCCCCTGAAGTTGTTGAAGTTGTCAGCGGCAGGAGAGCGCTTTGTGAGGGCGCCCACCGCTCTTTGAGACATCTAGCGGCTGTCAGCAGCAAAGCGCGGCTGCAATTTGTTTTCCAATATGGCGACCGACGCTACCGCCGCCACCGCCTCCTACGCTTCCACCGACGCTACCGTCGCCTTCAAACGCAGCAGCACGGCCGCCCCCGCTTCACCTCTACCCAAACACTCCTTGTATCCCTTAAAAGGGATCACTCACACGCGTACTCGACAGATGTTAGGAAAACGAAAAAAAAAACAAGATTAAGAAAGGAAAAACAACAACAACAAAGTAGAAGTAGAAAGAAGAAGTGTAAAGAAAAGTATAATTCTAAATAGTCACACATTCAAAAATGAAATTTTGGAAAAATTAACACTCGAATAAAACTAAAAATGAAGTTATAATAGTATTAACACATTTGAGATGAAGATTGCGTTGGGATGTGAGATTTTCGTAAAAGTTTTGCTGGAGATGACGGAATAATGGAGTCTAGACTAATTCAATTTTGGCGCTTTTGTTAAATGTATGTGTGTGTGTATAGGTTTTGGGTTTGACGTGTTCGAGGTGACGGCGGAGGCGACGGTGGCGTGAAGAGGTGATTTTTCACCTGTCACCGCCAGAAGGACCGGAGCACCTCTCGAACGCGTCCTCGAAGGTCCGGCCCGTAGGCCTCGAGGCCCTTCCGAAAAACTCACTTTCATATACACACACACACACACATACAAGTATATCGACGTGGAAAAACCCGCACGCAAAAAAAATTAAAAGTACCCTCATCATTTCGAATCCAAATCTAATATCCTGATTACCGCCTCCAACATTTATCGTTTTGTTTCTACCTCCAGGAAAAACGAAATAAAAATGACACATGTCAAACAAACCATTGACGTTTGACATGTGTCAAATTTGTTTACCCATTCATGAAGAAATTAACAAAATAACACGATTTCAATATTGCCAAATGTCAAAAAAAAAAGTTATTAACAAAAGAACAATAATAACAAATTGTGAATGCGCCGGGTAAATCTTATTTTAACTATAGGAGAAAAAGATGTTGTGTTTTACATAATAATGTAGAATGGTTAATTTTATTTGTAAGTAAAATATTTATACTGTCCATTTAGTTGGGGGATCAATGTAGTACGTATTAGGTATTCATTAACAGTACTTTCGCGTTTCCGATACTAGGGCTCTCCCTCATCGTGAGAACGATATTCTCTCTTGGCCAATTTCCAGATTCGCGTGTGTGCAAAATTTATATTCAATTCAAATTTAATACGAAATCGATAAGTTCGGACTAAGTGGACTAAATTGCACGGAAAGGATTTTTTTCATTTCAAATTGGAAAGAAATCATCAAAAATTGACAGTAATGACGTTTATAATGTCAGCTTGTCAAAGTTAAATTTTACTCTTTCTGTCATTAGTAGTAATAAATGAAGTTTATAATACGATTTTTTTTTCTTGCTTTTGTGCGAATAAAACCAATAGAGTTCATCAATTTTCTCGGCGATCTCAAGAAAAAAAATGTCATCATTATTGACAGTGACGTTTATAGTGTCAATTTCGTCGGTTGTTGCGTGCGGGTTTTTTTCTTTTGTTTTGATCCGCGTTCGTAGATGCGCAGGCGCGCGCTCGTCTGTTTGGTTTGGTGAGGCGTCCCGATGCCGCCGTCGTCATCGTTTCCGCACTGTGTCAAAGGCGCCGCGACGTTGATCGCACGTGCGAGCAGAGACGCGTCCCGACGCTCACCGGAAGAGCATCCGCCGCGTGTTTTCTTCCCTCCACAGAGAGTGAAAAAAAAAACAACGAGAATACAGATAGTTGCCAGAACGAGAGTGTTGCAAACATTCAAAATATATTTGTTGTTGTTCGAAGAATTAGAAGAAATGATGTAACGTGGTGTAAAATAGTAATAGCAAATCAGATGGACGAAGTGCAGACAATAATAACATGTGCCACGATTGTTGTACGTTGATGGGTCGAAGACGAAACTGAATTTTGCACTGGAGAATTCTATTTCCGGCCGGAAGTTAACAGCAAACATTGCACGAATGAAAAGGGTAATTATTTTTTTAAATATACATACAAAAAAAAAATACAAATATTGATCATATAGATTGACTTAGAAACAAAAATCACATTGGGAAAATTTTCAAATTCAATTAAGTGTACTTTTTTTTTTTTTAGCAAGAGCTACAGGTTACACATTGCGTAACAGCTTCACACTTATTAAAAAACAAAAAACGAAATACTCAAAACTTTGTATAAAATAACAAATTTTCGTTTGAAAATAATAATAATTTCATATTGATTATCAATTCTTTTTTGTCTCTAAATTATTTTTATGATATCTCAATGATGTATTTGTTTCTTAGTATTTGTCTTTTCGTAAATAGTATTCTATTATTTGTTGACACCTGTTAAAATTAAAGGTT